CTTTCCTCATTCTGTCTAAATATTGCACCCGACATTTTTGTCCGCCTATTCCTCTCGGATTCTAGTTGTAATCACGTAGTTCAGCGGTTCCAAAGTGCTGACATCTGAGGCACTGCATCAGAAAATAAGGCGGGCGAAATCAACTTGTGATGCGTAGTGGAGTGCAAGAGAGTCTTGCAAAATCGTTCCAGTTCATTCACCTTGACATCGTGCAGGCAAACATTAGTTACAGCAAAATATTATTCCGCATACATTTGTCCCACAAATGATCATCACAAGTAGCCCCTGAGCTTATTTATCCTCAGAAAAACATTTTTTGAATCTCGTAGACAACCAAGCATAAAATTAAGAAGGAAAGGTGCTGCGACATTGGATATTTCGCCATATCTTCGTGCATTATGAGAAAATAATTTGTCCACATGTGCTAAAATCACGGACAAACAGCATGGCAGTGGGAAGGAAGTCCAAGAACTTTCTAGCTTGAGGTATTTGTGCATCATGTCTAGAGATGGTACGTAAAGTTAATGTTTTGGCACAAAAGGCCAATCCATACAGCAAAAGTCATGCTTTGGCAATCAGCAGAACAAAACTTATCCGTTCCACTATGCCGATTACGGCAGTGAGGAGAGGGAAATTAGACAACTTCGCTGTAACCAGTGTACGCGAAATGACCTCGACGTGTGCCATCCTCATATCTTCCTAGAAAGAGATCACTTGACTTCATCTAGTGGACTGCATTTATGTGCTTTATTTAGAGATTTGAAAATGCGAGAATATTTTATTTCCCTATGAAGTTTTCTACTTTCGATTCACAACGAATTGTAAATTCACTGAATCGAATAGATGTAAAGGTTTCAGAAATAAATGCCCACACATTTATTTCATTAAAATGTAGAGGCCACTTTGGTGTACGAAACGGGAAGTGGTCGCTTGCTCGTCTGCTGGGTTGGTCCCAATCGTGGGCTCTGCCTGCGGCTCTTCGCGCCTCGCCAGCACTCAATCTAAGCGGTGCATAGCCATCAAGCTCCTGTGCGCTCACTTCCAACCCACTACAATTCTGTCGCGAAATATGCAAAGCGTGCTGAAATAAATTCTCTCCCTTGATACCCTAAATGCAATGAAGTTACTTGGCTAAATGCGTTGGAGGAGTGGCGTGATTAATTCATTCATTTTGCAGCATAGGAAATTCGGAGAAACGAGCAGGGACTGTGCTGGAAGCAATGTTGATGGAGTACTTGAACAGTTGCCAGTTAGGGGTGTTTGGTGGTTGGCAAAGCACAGAGAATGTAATACCTTCATTAAGGGATTGACAACTTTTATTAACTAAGGCGGTTAAGAGCATCTATCTATGTTCTTTGTGAAAGTGCTCCTCCGTGTATGGTAGATTGGCTGCCGTCTAGTTGGCTGGTTGATTGACTGACTGATCGACAGAACAACCGACTCTCTGGCCTTTGATGAAAGCTGAACCTTACTGCTTATGCAATGCAATGTCCGTTGAACGAAAGCGGAGGTCTTTGGCCATCCTCAAACCGTTCACTTCATGCAATGCACACCCACACCTCTATGGAGCTCTTCACTCCACTCCGAATTGACAGTTCTTGCTTCACATTTGACGGTAGACAGATGCGTTAGCTGATGTATTTCTTGCTAAAGGCCAAACAACTAAGCATGTAGTCTACCCATTCGGTCTGCGGAAGCAGCTATGGCCAGTAAAACACTCCAAAATAAATCCCATTTCTATTTATTCAAGTTAACCCCACGTCTCCATTCACAAAGCCACCCTGTAAGAGGATGTCCACTTTAGGTTGGGCTGAGAAAGACACACTCTCTTACAGTGGTGATTATTTCGACAAAGAAAATGTCACACGAAGCCTTTCTGAAGCTTCATGCATAGAAATCGACCAAACTTACTCATTTACCTCATAGTTTGTAGTCCTGCTTTGCCACATCTAAAGGAGATTGAATGGGCTATTAGCAGAGATGTGGATGGTCTTCACATACACCGGGAAGATTGTGTACCACCTCCGCCTCCATACAAACAAGTGGGTATGCAGATGGGTAGCAAAGCCATGCTCTGATGGCTACTTCAGCATCACTCCATAGTATGCTAATTGAGCGCATGGGCAATGAGAGGACAAGCAAGGATGCATACTAACACCTCCATGCGATTGGAGGACCTGGTCTTGAACTCTTTATTAGCCTCTCAGATGGTACCCTCAAACGTATCATCCAGAATGCTGCTATGAACGATCCTCAGGATGGTTAAACCACCCTAGATAGTTTCGAACTACTCGCATTGTATTAGTGGCCGTGACGCAGTCTGACCGAACACTACACACTTCATTGAAAGCAGGCGTTGGAGACTGTGGTGCGTGATGACCTACAAGGCCGTTGTCAGTTTGCAAGGACTCCCTTTGCTGTGTCGGCACCCGTAGAGTTCACCCTGTAACACAAATGGTTAGTGCTGCCCCCTCCCTAAAGGAGGCATGTGCGGTAACAATGCCTCCAGCCAACTTTTGGTTCCACTTTGTGAAAATTACTCCTCCCTTGTGCTTCAGATCCTCCTCTACCTTTATGCATTGCCTCGTAAATTTCTTTTGTGATTCGCTTATCGGAAGGCAGTCGGTGCATTTTGCCAGTGACCTCCCTTTACGCTAAGAGACACTCAAGTAGCACGCAAGGCTTCTTCCAGACATTAATGTCCGACAATTAGAATGCGCACCTAATGAGATTGGGCAAAACTTTCAGCAAACACAAGATTTTCTCATGTTCTGGTCTTAAAGCACCCCACTCACCTATTAAACCGAAGTCAATGTAGAGGTGACACTTTGTAAAATTTGCTTCAAAACTTGGCACAATTTTCGGGTAAATGATTCGTGCCTCAATGATGGTGCACAAAGCGAAGTCATGATATGCGTAGCGGACGGTGGTAATTATCTCCCCACTGGAGGCACAATTCTTACGCTGCAAGTAATGGGCAATGCGTATGAACGTGGAGACAGTGGGCATTATTTCCTGCATATAATCCACTTGATTAAAAGGAAAAACATGTCCAAAGCCACTACTACAGCCATATTAACCAAATGTATGTCTCGACAAAGTGAATGCACCCATCAAAGTGGTCATGAAGAGCAAATCAGGAAAAAAAATTCACTCACACAAACTTACGTGTTTATATTCCGTTTCCATAAACGAAAATGAAGACCACACCAACTAACAGCGTTATGTAGTGCAAATAAAAAAAAATTGCCTTATCGCACAACAAATCATAAGTGCGTGTAAATTCCTTAAAATGTTTGTTTACACACACAAAAACGTGTACACAGTGCGTTTTATGCTAACAAAATGCAATCACACCATGAAACAGGCATAACTCACCAAATCAACAATGCAAACATACGTCCACACCTACTAACATGGAAATGTGGTGTAAATAATTGACTCAAAAATACGTTCATGCACATAAATGTGAATTTTTCCATTTCATTAAAGCAAAAACACGTACACGCCAATCCACATAGCTTAGGTTACCAAATTAACGATAAAAATGCGTAACAACTACCTTAATTTTCCCTGGTAATATATTAAGCCTCAGCTGGGCGGAAGAAGTGCGTATGCTGCGGATGGGAGAATGCGTGGAGGTCGCTAGCAGAAGGGCTGAAAATGACTTGTGACTGCATCAACTACCCGGCCTCGTGTTGTGCAGGAATATTGCTAACAAGGGAAGCGAAACTGGCCACGGCCGTAAACCATTCGGAAAAGTTCCTTACGGAGCTGTCTGTGGTACCTGCTTGAAGATGTCAATTAGAAAAACGCCCGAAAACTCTTCTACTTCTCTGCTAGCTGGATAGAACCAAGACAGATTTGGCTGGACAGCA